GTTCCACAAGGTTCTGTTTTGGGATCTCATTTAATATGTTTAAAAGGAGTCCCAAGCACAGTGGCTAAGTTTGCAGATGGCACCAACCTAATAAAGATGGTAGATTGCAAAGCTGAACAAGATAAGTTACAGGAACATTGGAAAAATACTTGGGAATTGGGCAAACTAGTGGCAGATGAAATTCAATGTGGAGAAATGTAAAGTACTTAAAGGGGACAAAAAATCCAGGAAGGGACTATTATTTGAATGGAAGCAAAATGATATGTATGCAAAATGAAAGGGACATGGGAGTCTGATTGACAATAAATTGAAGCTCTCGCAACAATGCTCTGTGGCAGTGAGCAAAGCAAATCAGATGTTGTGATGTATCAAAACATCAGTAGCAAGCCGAAATAGTGGCGTTATCCTGCGATTGTATAAATCATTGGCTCGACCGTACTTAAGAGTACTGTGTAGAGTTCTGGTCGCCGAAGTACAAAAAGGATATGGGAGAAATCAAGAGAATTTAGAGGAGGGAATAGAGGAACTAGACTATGAGAAGTGACTAAGTAAATTGGGCATGTTCATGCTGAAAAAGAGAAGATTGAGAGGCGATATGATTGCTGTCTTTAAGATTCTAGAGGGACAATGTACATCATGACAGGCTGTTTCACCTAGTCCAGAATAGTAAGACCAGAGGATATGGACTGCAATTGAAGGGGGTAAATTCAGAATGAATCTCCGGAAACACTATTTCAGTGAACGAATAGTAAACCTTTTCATCTAGCATCTTTTATATTCTTATATGAGGGCCTTGAAGTTGATCTGAGAGGAGAAACTTCCTTCTCTTTATCGAACAAGGATCTTTAACGTGCACCCGAACAGGCAGACAGGGTCTCATCCAATGGGCGGCACCTCTGACAATACAGCTCTCCCAGCACTGCGTTATCAACTTCAGCACTCATTGGAGTGTCAGGTTGGACTTTGAGCTTGAAGTCCTGACATGGAACTGGAACCTGTAACCTTCAAACTCAAAGGTGAGAGTACTACTGACTGAGTAAACCTGTTACCAAATAAACATCCTTAATTGCACCTTATCACGTCGTTGAGACATCTCTAAGTGCTTCACAGGATATACTGTATTGTAAAGTGAATTGACCGTTTTGTGGGTGAAACGCGGCAGCCTATTGTGTACAGCAGTGTCCCACAAACGGCCATGACCAATTTGATTTGGGGGATTGTTGGCCGGGACACCGGGAGAGAGAAACTCTCTTTTCGAACTGTGCCATGGGAACTTTAACGTTCAACTGAACAGGAAGGTGGGCCCTCGGTTTAACGTCTCAACCAAAGGACTGCACCACCGACAATGCAACACCCCACCAGCACTGCATGGGAATATCAGCTTAGACTATATGGTTCCAAGTCCTAACATGGGGCTTGAGCCCACAACCTTCTAATTCAAAGACACTGAGTCAGGCTAACACACAATCCACTCCACCGGCAATTTCTCTACCAGACATAGACACAACACTCCACAACTCAGTCACTAAGTCACTCGGGCCGGCGTGCGAATGAGCAGCACTCATTTTGGGAGTTGCACTCACTTGCTGAACCTGATCAAACCCATCTCATCTTCTCTTTAGACCTAGAGGTTAATTAACCTACCTGTGATCGCGTAACCAGAGGATAAGGTCACAACGAAACAGCCCAGTTTACTGCTGTCTGCATATCCACACTGTTGGACAGTTTCATCAAGTGCATTGTCTTTCCCCATCACACACTCAGGTCAATGGCAAATGTTCCTAGCATTCTATTGTTTTGACCATCTTTGTGCTAACAAAGTTTCCCTTCTTCACATGAGCCTCTAAAACAGGGTGCTTGAACCTCACATTGGATGAAGTGCCATAATTATAAAGATAAGCACCATGTGATGGAGAGTCAGACAATCATGAGGGAGAGAGAGAGGGAAAGAACCCTGTTAGAGAGAGACAGAGGACAAAGAGAGAGAGAGAGAGACATAGAGAAGACAGACGGAGCTCCCACATGTTCGACAGGTTCTGGTCACACTCACAGTTCATATAATAATAATAATAATAATCCTTGCATTTGATATAGCGCTTTTCACGTCGGGAGGACGTCCCAAAGCGCTTCACAGAACACACTGTAAAGTGAATTGACTGTATATCTGTGGGCGAACGCGGCAGCCAATTGCGCACAGCAATGTCCCACAAACAGTCGTAGATTGAAAATGACCAATTTATTATTGTTTTGGGTTTTGGAGGGATTATTATTAGGCGTGTGGAGTAAGGAAACTTGCCCAAGGTTTCGCCCTGCCTGGACAATATAGTTGACAAGCAATCTGAAACTAGAGCCAGAGTTTGTGAAAACAATCATTGGTCAGCTTATTATTATGGGGAATCAAACATGAGGGGAAAATAGTGCATTACAACAAAAGTCACAAACAGCAGTTTTGGTGGAGCTTCCAGGAGATAGTTCCTCTTTGAAAGGAAATTAAAGTCATGGACCTTTAGAATTTCACCAGCTCAGGCAAGTCTGCACCAAATCAATACCTTGTTTCCAGCAGCTACTGAGCCACGATACCCATGGCACAGCCATAAATTCAATAAATATTCAAAAAGAAAAACGTTGGCTGCCCAAATAGGTTGACTACCACTGGTGAAAAGTGGATGAAACGCAGCAGCCAATTTGCACATAGCAAGTTCTCATGATCAGACGTGTAGTAATGACTCATTTAATTTGGGGGATTGTTGGCCAAGACACTTGGAGAGAGACACTCCCTTCTCTTTTCAAATAGCACCATGGGATCTTTAATGTCCATCCAAACAGGCAGATGGGACCTCAGTTTAATCGTGGTTCCATCTGCCTATCAGAGGTGGTGTGCCGTGGTCTCCAGGAGCTGAGATCCATAAAGGAGGACTGTTTGCATACAGGTCTTGTATGGCACAAGCTTGACCTGCATTGGGACCTTGATGTTCTTGAAGAGGGACGAGCTGACCAGGGTGCCCTTCACCCCTTCTCAGTGTGATCCTTCAGGACAGTATCCAGGCTGAAGTTGGTGTCACCACAGCCAATTAGAATTAACAATTGGGAACCTTTGTACCTTCCCTCCTTGTACCTTGCCTCCTTCAAGACCCATCTCAAGACCCTCCCCTTTGACCGCACCTTCGGTCACCCTCCTACCCTTACCCTCTCCACCCTCCACCCCTCCTGATCCCAACCACCAGCTCAGGTGCAGATGCCTGACTGTCCAGCACCTTGGGACATCCTCCTGACTTGAAAGGCGCTATATAATGCGATTTGTTGTTGTTGTTGCTTCTCATCCAAAACATGGCACCACCGACAGCGCAACATACCCTCAGCACTACGTTGGATTATCAGCTTAGGAAATGTGATTCCATGTTCTGACGTGAGGCTTGAACCCACAACCTTCTGACTAAGGCGAGAGTGCTACCAGTGAGCCAGGCTGATAACTGGCTAGTTAAGTAAGACTGGTACTTTCCTGGACTTCTAGCAGATTAATGGTTACCACAGAAATGACAAGACGCTCAGATGTCTTGGCTATCTGCACCCAAATGTCATATTTATATTGAGAACAAAAAATCCGACCCCTCCTCCTAATATAATCAAGCTCAAAATCATTCGCAGTCAGGAGTCTGAGAGGTCCTTCTCTTGACAGCCGTTTGAGTGAAAAGTTGGGTTGGTGTCAGGAGAATGAGTGCACATTAAACATGCCTCATTTACACCAGTAAACAAGCCATCTCAAGAATGCAACAAATCTTGGCTGATCAGAGTGTTCGACAATAACATTGTAATTTCCCAGATTAATAAACGGATGTGCTCCTCTGAGTTCTGGGCTCTACCTCGCTGCGGAATACTCCTCTGCCCACAAAGCCGCAGATGCACATTAACTGTTCATTGGTACCTTTATGGGCAGAGGAACCTTCCTCGCTGTACCTCGCTGGGTTTTCAAGGTGGGGAAAGCAGAGGCTAGAATCTGAGTGTGTATTTCAGGACTTGTACAAACTCTCCAGGCTTCATAGCCAATAGGCGTCCCCTCAACAAGTGCTTTGAGACATCTTCCTGACATGAAACTCACTATATTAATACAACCTATTCTTCTGTATCCACTCACTACACGTATCCAATGTTGGACTCAGCATTCCTGGATCCTGATGAGGCCAAGCCGAGCAAAGCAATCTCTCATCCCACGAAGGTAGAGAATCACGTGTTGAAATCTCAGCAGCTGTTGGGGTGAATTCTGCTCTGACACAAACTGAAGATGTCCTGAAGTGTTGTCTTCATGGTAAAAGCAGGTCATGTCAGAACATCAATGGCAGTGATTTATGCCACGGTGAGTTCAAACTACCTTGGACAAAGAGATGGTGCAAAGCCTGGTGTCCACGCCAGGCCTGGCACCTTTTACAGTTTGGAATGCATTGGTGTATTTTTATTGAACAAGTCTCAAGTGAAAGTTGAAGGTTGCATTCCGTGGCCATTTAAAATTTTTCATTTATTTTGTGCTTTTCAAGTTAGGAGGATGTCTCAAAGCTTTTAACTGATTGGGTGGGGGTGGTTGGGAGGGGGTTAAGATAGCTCAAAGCTTGGACGAAAAGATAAGACTTCAGGTGGGTTTTCAAGGTGGGGAAAGCAGAGGCTAGCGGACTCAGGATGGAGTTCCAGAGAGCAGAGGTAGAATGGAATAGTTGGGAGGGGGGGGGTGGGAATTGAAGCAGACTGATGTCACTGAAAGGGAACAGTGGGGTCATAGGTGGGGTGGGGGGAGGTCACAGATAGGGTGGGGGAGGTCACAGTGCATTTGAAAGAGAGGTTGTGGACCTCAAGCTCCATGTGCTGGGTGATGGGAAGCTAAGTGTGAATGGGGGTGAAGGGCTCACGGAGCCTGGTGCGGGAGGGCACAGGGGCTGTTGTAATGACCTTATTGAAAAATGACCAAGACTCGTTGAGAAAAGAGCAGTGTGACAAAGTCAGCTTTTGATTTCACAAAATCTTTGATTAAAAAGCCGGACGGACAGGCCTGTTACAGCTTGTGCACACCAACGAACGCTTCACATTCCATATGTACTGTGTGTATACATCGAGCAATAGTGAAATATATTATTGATTCAATACATATATTTATAAATAAATTATACATTTTATGTAAAAATAGAGATACTAAAATGTGTTGCAGTGGAACTGGAACCTGATTGGAGTCTGAGCACTGCGCTGCTGCACGATTTTCTTTTACAATGTCAAATGCAAAACGCTCCATCCCTCAAATTTGTTTCATAATCATTCCCACTCTCCTTTAAGAGTTGTGCGATGCATTCTCAATGCTTGACCCCACATTCACTCAGGCTGGGTAACAAACCGGGGGCTGACAGTGCGAGACTCGGTCATGCAGATGTTCTGTGTGGTCAGGATTTGACACCACGGAGGGCTCAGTGGAAAAGCACAATAAGGAAAAACAGGATTGCTCCAGGTCAGAATGTTGCAGGCAGGATAGTGGGTGGAAGTGTTATGGACAGGATTGTTTGGAAGGAAGTGTGAGGGATTGGTGGAGCATTCTGAATGGGATAGCTACTGGTGGAAAATATCTGACATATGTGTTGCTGAGTTTTTTTTTCCAATTAGCTCCAAGAACCTTGGTTTGATCTCCCAGGAGTAACCATGAGTCACTGGAACTGGAATTGGGAATCAGCTCTTTGGGATTTCAGCGCCTTGGGTATTCCTCCCAACATCAAAGGAGCTTTTCAAATGTAATTTTGTATTGTACTTTTGTATTGCATTTACGCACTGTCACTTTGGAGAGAGAAAAAGAAAAAAGTGGGAGCTTAATGGGTTAATATGAAAGCCACAGTGTGACAGAGCTCAAATCCCACTACAGATTGGAGCTTGCTGTGGTGACATGAGCCATGACTGGACTCACGGTGATGGCTTCAATAGCCTTTCTTTCAGGAGATGCATGTTCTTCAGCAGCTGGTGAGGCTGATGACGCTCTGCAGGCGCTAGCAGAGAGAGCTGGACAAGGCGCTATTGCTTCGTCACGTTGCACTGGGTCTCTGAGGGCTTCGCTCGCCCCTCTTCTCCAAACGGTCCAGTTTGCTAAGGTTTTCCTGCAGAATCTTGCTTCCGGGCACAAGCTGCAAGGCTTTCTCATAATAACCCCGTGCCGCCGGGTAATCGCCCTGTGAGATGGGACATCAAAGCGAGCAGCGGTGAGATAATAATAACAATCTTTGCATTTGATATAGCACCTTATCATGTCGTCAAGACATCTTAAAGTGCTTGGCAGTATATACAGTAAAGTGGATTGACTGTATTTTGTGAGCGAACCAAAATGCACACAGCAACATCCCACAAACAGCCATTGGGTGAGTGACCAGCTCAAAGGCAGACTCCTGGGGAAGCCCACGTCCTGGCCTTGGTGACAATGAATAGATATGGGCATGCAATCAGCAGAGCTGCCTGGGAACAGGGCAAAGGCATGTGCTGGACACAAGTAGACAGCTCTGGGGGTGGAGGGCTGCATTATCCAAAGTGCCTTAATTCAGGCGAGATGTTCAACCAAGGTCCCATCTGTGCCTGTTCAGGCAGATACCAGGACCACAGGAGAAACTCCTTCCTCTTTCTGTATTGTGCTGCAGGATCTTTAACGCAGGATCTGAACAGGGTGACGAGACCTAGGTTTAACATTTCATCTGAAGTACGGCACCTCTGACAATGCAACACACCTCCAGCACCACATTGGAGTGTCACCTTAGACAATGTCCTGATGTGGACCTTGAACGCACAACCCTCTGACTCAGAAGTGAGAGTGCTGCCACTGAACCACTCTCCGGGTTTCCTGGCTATTCCCCAAATAAAATTGATTATTCACTTTTTGTGGGACATTGCTGTGCACAAATTAGTTGACGCATTCACCCACAAAATACACAGTCGCTACATTTGAGAGTAAATGAAACTTGGGAAACGCTTTGAGACGTCTCAACATGTGAGAAGGCACAACATCAAATACAAGGATTCTTATGATGTAACATACAAAAGCGTTGTGCGTATATATTCTGTATGCGTGAATGTGAATTGATTTTGCTGACCTTGATGTGCTTGATTCCGCCCATGTTCATCCAGCCTTGTGACAGCTGTGGGTTCAGCTCCACGGCCCGCTTGTAACTCTACACATAAAGGAAAACACGCAGCTTAGCAAAACAGCTGAGCTTAAATATGACAATGTCCCAAGGGCCCCCTAACCCACTCACCCATCCCCGCAATATGTACTGAGTTCACCTCTCCACTATCGGTCCAGCCGGCTGACAATCCCCCATGTAACACTGCAAAGATACATGTCAAAGACATGCACTGGTATAAAAAGGTCACTATGAAGTGCAACATTACAACAAGCCGACTCAAACAACATTATCAGATGGTCAGTGATCGAGATACAAGGCAACTCAGCTTTATGGTGCTGCAAACAAATGGCAGGTGATTTTGTTAAAAGGCAGTCACAACCAAAACCACAAATCAAATTAGTTGCCATTAATACATATATATTCTGCATAACAATGTTCAAGCACTCTGGAACTCTATCATGTGTAAGGGGTGCTATAAAAAGTTGGTGGTCGATATTTTACGTGTGTAGAAAACTCCCAGCCTGTGCACGTTCCATAATGTGCCTTCATTGTCTTTTGAGAATGCAGAGCTCTGGTCTTTGGTTATGTGTCAGTCTGGAGCAGTGGTAGCGTCTCGCTTCCGAGTCGGAAGGTTATGGGTTCAAGCCCCTACATCGGGACTTTGAATCAAATAGTCTAAGTTTCTTGTTGTAAGATGACACTCCAATTCAGTGCCGGGGATGAGTTGCATTGTCAGGAGTGCTGTCTCCCTGTTCAGGTGGACGCTAAAGATTCTACGGTACTCTTCGAAAAGAGAAGAGGTTTCTCTCTCACGGTGTTTGGGCCAAACAATCTCCCAATTAAAACTGGCCATTCACTCCATGGCTGTTTGTGGAACATTGTTGTGCGCAAACTGGCTGCCGCGTTTCACACTCAAAATATACAGTTAACCCACTCACAAAATGAATGCTGCTCACTCACTTGCCTGCACCTTGACTTACTGACTGAGGAGTGTTGTGTACATCCACGCCAATGCACTTGATGAAATTGTCCAACAGCATGGATGTACAGACAACAGGGAGCAGGGCTGTTTCGTTGTGAAATTATCCTCAGGTTGTCATAGGTAGATAAGGTAACCTCTAGGTCTAAAGAGAAGATGAGATGGGTTTGATCAGGTTCAGCAAGTGAGTGCAGCTCCCAAAATGAGTGCTGTTCACTCGCTCGCTGGCCCCGAGTGACTTAGTGATTGAGTCATGGAGTGTTGTGATCGTGTCTGCAGTTGAGAAATTGCCAGTGAAGTGGACTGGCTCAGTGGTAGCACTTTCTCCTCTGAGTCAGAAGGTTGTGGGCTGCAGCCCAATGTCATGACTTGGAACCATATAGTCTAAGCTGACACACCCATGCAGTGCTGGGTGGGTGGGGTTACATTGTGGGGAGGTGCGCACACCACACCACACCCCCCGCACCGCCTTTTCCGGTAAAGTGACTTGTAAAGTCACAGCGTATCAGTCCCATACAAATGACAGCCCAATGTAGTTGATAGGTTACACTTTACCTGGCCCAAAAATGGCCATTTCTCACAAGAACCGAACGTCCCCAATACAAAATATACCATCAATCCACATTACAGTAAATCATGTGAAGCACTTTGAAATTTCTCAAGTGACGTGATAAGGCACTAAATTATCTAAAGGAAAAATTATTATTACTATCTTGACATGAAAAGCGCTACATCGAATGTAAGGATTATTATTATTGCAGGACATATTAATAATAATTCTTGCATTTGATATCACGCCTTTCATGTCTTCAAGACATCTCAAAGTGCTTCACAGAATGTATTGTAAAGTGGAGTGACTCTGTATTTTGTGAGCAAAACGTGGCAGCCAGTTGTGCACAGCAGTATACCACAGACAGCCATGGAGTGAGTGACCAATTTTATTTGCAATAACTCCACCCTTAGACAATGTGATCCCAACTCTGTTCGACGTGAGGCTTGAAACCACAACCTTCTGACTCAGAGGCGAGAGTGCTACCATTGCACCAGGCTGACAACCAACATCAACCTCCTGAGCACCAGAGCAATGGAAAATGATGTTGTCACTGAGTCAAACCAAGGACTCAAAGTCTTTGGTTGAGATGTTCAATGGATGTTTTACAGCTTTCCTATAGGTTTACCTCAAACGCCATATCCAGACGGTTCAGCTCCCTGAAGTTATTCCCTTGGGAGAAGTGAAGCTCGGCCAGAATCTTGGCATCTTTGGGTTTCATCTCAAGTGCTTTCTGCACAGCATGAAGTGCCTGTGGGCATAGGAGAGCGATAGGGGAGCACTTGTGCTCTCAAACCACGAACGGCAAATAGATTCGTCATAGCTAATAGGCTCATACACATGTGTATGCACACACACGTACAGGTATTCTGTAAAGTTCAACAGGATTTCCTTGTTTTTATTTTAACTTTAATACGGTTTTACACTATTATTTTGCCATGCACCCATGTGCCCCCGGTCTGGCCTCTCTCTGCCCCTGGTCCTGCCTCCTCTGATCCATGATCTGGCCTCCTCTGTGCCCCTGGTCTAGCCTCTTCTTGCTGGGGTGAAGGTTACTAGACCACTGTTGACGTGTGAGTCTGGGGGGTGAGTGTACCCAAGACACTCGACTCTAGGCGAGCCTGACCTTTTCCCCGTCGCTTGCCACGCAGACACACAACCAGTGGAGGTGCTTTATAGGGAGCAAAAGAGTAACAGGAGCAGGGAACCCAGCTGATTTTAACCTCCTTGACCCTGGGTAAGAATATCTTGTCTTCCTGTGCTGCCATAACCCAGAACAGTAAACTCAACATGAACCAGCAAGCTCCCAATCTATAAGCAACTGCTCGATCCACACCACAATCAAGGACCCCACACACCCCCAGGGGAGGCCTCATGACACTGGGTGTGGGATTTGGACACAGCGGCTCGTTCTTACCTCTTCAAGATTTCCCTGTTTGTTGTAGATGGCTGACAGCAGCCGGTAGCACTCCAGACAGTTGATCTTCTCAGTTGCAATGTGGGTGATCAATCTTTCAGCATCTTTGACTCTGCCAGCCGCACACAAGACCTGCGCCTAACAAATACAATCCAGTAGGTTGGTGGACAAACGCAGTGCACCGAACGAGGCACAAAGGGAGTGAAGAATCTCCGCTTGCTACAGGCCAAGTCTTGGGGAGGGGAGGTAGACGAGGCAAAGGGAAGATTTTCCCTCGAGTCAACTCTAACCAAAGCCGTCAAGCCATTGATTGGACACCTCAGGCTGAGGCTGGCTTCACTCATGGTCATTTGCATTCGGCAACACATCAAACCACTGCTTCCGGAATCGTTTCAGAACATGCCTCCACCTGACCTGCACTGACTGACGGCAAGGGATAGAGAGGAGCCGGGAAGCAACACAATTGTTTGTGATGACTGTTTTCACAGGCAAACGCAGCAGGTCGTTTGCACACAGCAATGTCCCACAAACAGCCAGGAAGTGAATAACCCATTTACCTGGGAGATTGCCGGCCAAGACACCACCAGGAGAGAGAAACTCCCTTCTCTTTTCAAGCAGTGCTGTGAGATCTTTAACGTCCACCTGAACAGGCACAGAAGCGGCCTTGGTTTAACATCTCATCTGATGGACTGGAGTGTCAGCCTAGATTGTGTGACTCCAAGACCCAACATGGTGCTTGAACCCACAATCTGCTGACTCAGCAGTCTGACTGAGCCAGGATGACAATTTTCCTCTTGTCCAAGGATCGACACAATTCCCTTTTAAAACAATCGACCACCCTACACGTAAAGAATTTTTGAACCTTGGCTTTAAATCTTTACGTGATTATCTGTTCCTCCCTTTTGCAAACGACTTGCTTAGGAACTACTTGGCCACTCAATCCGCCACTGTTTGTAGGACACAGTGTCAAGCTGGCCTCTCCCACCATCGCTTGAGTTGCTGTGGTTTAGCGGTGCACTCACCATCGCCAGTTGAAGGTCAGTGTTACTGGGTTGGATGCCTATGGCCTCACTGTAAACGCGTAGTGCCTGCTCGTATCTCCCTGTGTTGTAGTACAGAGCCCCCAGGGGAGAAAGGATATCTACATCCCTGGTCATCTGCAGAGCTCTGCAAATCAAAGCAACACACACCTCGTCAACAACCACAAATGACATCTGTATAACATCTTTCACATAAGGAGGACATCCCTAGAAGCTGAAAAATCAGTTCAACCTGAACTGATGGTTGAAGTCAAGAGTGGAGGTGGAAAGACAGCCGAAGGCACAGTCGAAGAGGAAGGTCTTGAGATGGGCCTTGAAGGAGGCAAGGAAGGGGTCGAGGCAGAGGGGCCCCGGGATGGAGGTCAAGGGCAGAAAGGCTGAAGGTCCAACCGCTGATAGAAGAGTGGACAGGACAGAGGATGTGGAGCAGGCCAGTGCGTGCCAAGCAGAGGGAGCAGGCAGGTAGGTAAGGTTTTAGCGGGTTGCAGAGATACGGAGGAGCAAGACAATGGAGGGCTATAAAAGCAAGGTCTTGATCTCAATCCCCCACGGGCAAAGATGGGGGTGATCGGTTCACAGAGTTTGGTGCAAGAGTGAAGACATGAGCTGCAGAGTTCTGAATAATCTGCCACTTGTGTAGGGAAGAGTTGGCGAGCAGGGAGTTGTAACACAGGTCAACAAACAAAATAAATCAACACAAAGACACGCACAGACATTCAGTCATTCTGCCACACTCTGAATCACAACTCCAGAACATGAAGGCACGCATCTGCCTTCTCACCCAGCTGCCCTGTGTGAGGTTTGGATAAAGAAGGCCCTTCTGCCCATCTAATCATATCATTCCAGAACAGCCATCCCAGTGTTTTCCTGCTGAGTTCAAGCCATTTCTTAATATACAGTCAATTCACTCTACAGTGTATTTTGTGAAGTGCTTTAAGACGTCTCGCAGATGTGATAAGGCGCTGTATCAAATGCAATGATTAATATTATTTATTTATATTATCTGGAGTCCAGGTGGTGGCCTCAGCCACACAAGAGAGAAGATATAAACACCATGGATTTGTTGGGCCGAACGGTGTGTGTCACTGCGTAACTACACCTCATGTTCAGTGTAAACACGGCTAACCTCGAGCTGGCTGGGATGCCAAGCAGGGTGCCACGGGGCGTGACAATCTGTGAACGCACACCTGGCTTTGACGAATTTTAGACTCTCTGAAATATTAATGCAGTAAATCAAGACTCAGGTGAGGGTTGGGTGGGGTAATCTCATTGCTACTCAGTTTGGAGTCTTTTATCAATGGTTTTCCCTGACTCAGGGTCCACCCATGATGGGGAGAGTAGCAGTACAGTCATTCAGCCAGCAAGCTCCGGATGAAACTCGATAGTTGAGTAAACGGCCCCCGCTTCTCACTCTGGCGTCATNAAAAAATGATAAAAGATAGCCAATATCGGTTCATGAAGGGGAAATCCTGCAAATTAATTTACTGGTTTTATTTGACTGTGTGTCTTTGGAATGTCATCAGGCTGGGATTCTTTTATTAATAATAATAATAATAATCCTTGCATTTGATATAGCGCTTTTCACGTTGGGAGGACGTCCCAAAGTGCTTCACAGAACACACTGTAAAGTGAATTGACTGTATATTTGTGGGCGAACGCGGCAGCCAATTGCGCACAGCAATGTCCCACAAACAGTCGTAGATTGAAAATGACCAATTTATTATTGTTTTTTTTGGTTTTGGAGGGATTATTATTAGGCGTGTGGAGTAAGTAAACTTGCCCAAGGTTTCGCCCTCCCTGGAATTGAACTCAGGTCTCTCGCTTGCAAAGCGAGCGCTCTAACCACTGAGCTGCAGGACTCCAATGAAGGTTGAGGTGAGAGAGGTGGTGAAGGAGGATAGAGTGATCAAGGAGGATGAGGAGATAGAATATCATTAGTGACTTTGACCAAAGTTGTTTCTGTGCTGTGGGCGGAAATCCGATTGGAGGACTTTTAAGACCTCTTTTATTTAATATCTTCATAAATGATCAGGAGATAGAAGTCATAAGCACTTGTGCCTAAATTTGCAGACAACACCAAGCTACTGAAAGTAGTAGACTGCAAAGATAATAGTAATAATAATCCTTGGATTTGATATAGCACCTTATCACGTCTTTGAGACGTCTCAAAGCGTTTCACAGAATATACTGCAAAGTGAATTGACTATATTTTGTGGGCGAAATGCAGCAGCCAATTGCGCACAGCTGAACAGAATAGATTACAGGAGCACTTGAACTTACTTGGAATTGAGTAGATCGATGGCAGATGCAATTTAATGTAGGGAATGCAAAGTGCTTCACATGGGGACAAAAAATCCAGGAAGGGATTATTAATTAAATGGGAAGAAAATAATCTGTACGGAAAATGAAAAGGACCTGGGGTTCCTAATTGAGAATAAATTGAAGCTATTGAAACAGTGCTCGATGGCAGTGAATAAGGCAAACCAGATGCTAGGCTGTATCAAAAGGACAATATTGAGCCAAAAAAGTAAGGTAATTCTGCTGCTTTATAAATCACTGGTGCGACCGCAGTTGGAATACTGTGTGCAGTTCAGATCACCGCATTATAAAAAGGATATTGCAGCGATTGAGAGGATACAGAAGAGGGCAACCAAAATGATTGAGGGGATGGAGGGGCTGGACTGGGAGGAGTGATTAGGTAAGCTGGGCATGTTCACGCTGGAGAAGAGAAGGTCGAGGGGAGATATGATTATTGTCTTTCTAAGATTCTGAAGGGACTAGACAATGTAGACCATGATAAGCTGATTTATGTTGTACTGAACAGTAGAACCAGAAGACATGACCTGCAATTGTAGGGTGCTAAATTCAGAACAAATCTGCAGAGACATTACTTCAGTGACCGAGCAGTAAACTTATGGTACAGGCTCCCTAGGGAGACGTTGGAAGCAGAAAGTTTTGTTTGTTTCAAGATCAATTTAGATAAGATTGCAGCTAGAAAATAATATCCCGGGATCCAATATGTAGTTTGGGAGACAACATGTCAAGCGACTACCAGGAATGGTGGAAGGCGAACTAGATGGATCTTTCACTAAGCAAATTCTTATGTTCCAGCAGCACAGAGCTCAGCCTGTGCCTTACTCCAGCCTCAACCCAGACCAGGGCTCTCCAACCGGACCATTGTCACAAGGTGGCGTCTCACACATGCTCAATAAAAACAAGAGGCAGGAGCGATATTTACCACAGTTTTAACATTAAGGTTTATATTTTTAGTTCCAGATGTATAAAATACTTTGTACATCTGGCTCTGTTTTCAATTTGTCTCAATCACGACGCAGTTCTATTGCTTCATCCTCTTGTGTTTTTTGATTATCTACCACAGCGCCACCTGGTAGCCATTGATCGGTTGGCGACCCCTGGCCTAGACTGAGCGAGCTCAGGACCTGTCAGTAGTGAAGGTCTCGGTGCTCACCGTTTGTACCAGGATTCGGCTTCTTCGTTCTTGTCAGATGAGCGGAGTAGACGGCCCAGGTTCACCATCGCAACATGATGCTTGGGATTCAGGCCAATGGCTCTCAGGTAATGCCTGGTCGCTCCATCCACATCTCCTGTGATAATAATAATGATATTGATGTAAAGACTAACTGGTATGAACATCAACCAGCAAAAGTGACATTGAAAAATTACATCACAATAACCTGGGATTCACAAGTACATGCAGATAGAACAGTAATCTGTAACCAACCAGATATTATCATAAAGAACTAAATAGATGTTGTAGTATTGATGTAGTTATCCAGGTGATTATAACATACAAAATAAGGAAGCAGAGAAAATCAGGATATACAGTATATCAATCTACAAGTTGAATGCGGACATACGTGGCAATGTGAAACGAACATAGTTCCTATAATCATCAGTGCAATTGGGACTGTTAATAAGACTATTTAGAAGTGGCTTGACAAAATACCTGATGAACAAAATATCAACCTTTTGCAAAAAGTAGCTATTTTAGGAAGTTCAAACATACTAAGAAAAGTAAGAGAAAAGTGGCAGTGTTGTTGGTCTGGCTCACCCATCACTGAAAACCAGAAATGACTTCTACAGAATGATTTAAACTGTAATAACATAGTAATAACCCTTGCATTTGGTATCGAGCCTGATCACACCAGAAGGACATCTCAAAACATTTCACAGGATTTACTGTGAATTTGCAGACAAACGCGGCAGCCAGTTGTGCACAGCACTGTCCTAAAAACAGCCATGGTGTGAGTGACCAATTTTATTTGGGAGTTTGTTGGCCAGGACACTGGGAGAGAGAAACTCCCCTCTCTTCTCGTGCCATGGGATCTTTAATGTTCACGTGAACAGGCTGCTGGGACCTCGGTTTAACGTCTCATCCGAAGGACGGCATTTTCGACAATGCTGCACTGCTTTAATGTGTCAGCTTAGACTTTGTGATTCCAAGTCCCTACGTGGGGCTTGAACCTACAACTTTCTGAATCAGAGGCGAGATCGCTACCACTGAGCCATGCTAATACACAGGAGATTTATTCTGTAAAACAATAACACAGCACACAGTGCACTTGCTCTGGAAACCTCCATGTTTGCTCGCTCGGCCTTCCCCCTCTTCTGGGAGCAGGCAGAAAAGTCAAATAAAAACAATAATTTGCGTTTACGCAGTGCCCTTCATGTGGCGTAGTATTTCAGAACACTTAGTTGTGGCCTGATGCCAAGCCGAGGGAGCGGGAGGTGACTTAGGAACAGTTGAAGAGGAAGGGTAAAGAGGGATTCAGGCAGATAACTCCAGAATCTCGGAGCATAGTGGCTAGAAGCACGGTGAGGTCTATCTCAAGGCTGGCCAGCTTTCACCACCCAGAGTGTGTGGGAGATGAAACGGCTCAATAATGCTTCAGGATATTTAACATCCACCTGAAAACACGGAAACATGGTCTTGGTTTAAAATCTCAGCCCAGTGTCACATTTTTCCAATGCAGAGCAACCACCCCACTGCCCCCGAGCACTGCACTGGAGTCTCTGCCTGAACTATAGCTGAAAATCCCAACAAGGGACTTGAACCCACAGCCTCCAGACTCACAGGCAAGAGCGCTACCAAGGTAATAGCTTGTTCCAACTTAGGTCTTTTTCAGTCCCCAGGACACACCTGGGCCTTTAGAACACAATTATAATCCCAATAACAGGTCTCGGCTTTTCGGATGCTCACAGCAGGTCCTCAATACCTGGTCCTGCCACTCACCTTTGTCAACCAGGAAGACACCATAGTTGTTGTGCAAGTCGGAGTTCTCGAGGCAATTCTCGATGCCTCTGAGATAGATCACATCAGCCTCCTGGAGCCGGCCCTTCACAGAGAGGGGGAAAGAACACAACAAATTTGGGAAGTCAGGAGACTGTAAATTCAAAGACCTCTCAAATGAAACCATAGTATTCTCATTCTGGCTCATTGTGTGCGAAGCTTTCAACATCCCGCCCCACCCCGAACACTCACGCATACACAGACACATAAACGCACATGCACACATGCAAGTACAGGTGCTTGCCCAGGCGCACGTACACGCTCATGCATACACATGCAGCTACACACAGTTGCGAACTCACAAGCATACACACCTCTGCAAACATTCACACTCGCACACGTGGACACATGGCCTACGATTGAATCGGGTAAATTCAAAACAAATCTGTGGAAACACTATTTCAGTGAGCGAGTGGTAAACCCATGGAACAGGCTCCCTAGAGAGATGGTGGAAGAAGACAGTATCAATTCACTCAAATGTAAATTGTATAGATTTCTTTTCGAAATAGTATTTTGGGAAACAGTATATGAGTAGTTCAGGACTTGACACGTGCAGGCAACTGCCAGCATTTGGAAGGCGAACTGGATGGACCTTGGTCTTTATTCGTCTAGCATTTCCTATGTTCTGCATTACACCTAAACCGATGTGTAATTTATCGTGGTGCTTGTGACTGAGAAGCTGATCCTGCCACTCGCCTTTGACAACCAGGAAGACGCCATAGTTGTTGTGCAAGTCGGAGTTCTCAAGGCAATTCTCGATGCCTCTGAGATAAATCACATCAGCCTCCAGGGCTTTGGAAATGCTCCCCTTCCCCCACGCCCAAGCTCGGACTCCCAGGCCGTTGTATGGAGCATTCTGAGACATCCTCCAATGTGAAAGGCCTTAAATAAATGTTAATTGTTGAGGGGAATTCGAGATGCTGTCTCCACCTGGTAGAGTTGAAAGGAGACAACCCTCAGAGGCAATCCTGGCCTCTATGACCAGTGAGGTCTGAAACCTGTCTGCCTTTATCCAGAGTTTGTTCCATTCCAGAGTCTCGAGACCCGAAATTTCTCCTGGTCTTAATCTGTGAGAACATTTGGTCCAAAATTTTCAGATCTTGTGATATAGGCAGTTCCCACAGAAGGCCATGGGAGCAGCCTATAAGAAATTTCCACAATTCTGATATTAAAATTGTAAGAAAAATTGTTCCCACAGGCAAGATGAAGTGAAACTTTGGAGCTGGGACATTTTGTGTTGCTCAGGGCCAGAGTGACGTGAGGTCGAAACCTGCAGCTCACTGGGGCAGGGACTCTTTCCACTCGGCTCCCGTTAACCCTGCAAACCAAAGCCCTATGCAGCGTGGTGCAACAACAAGAAGAGCAAATTGCATTTATACAGAGCCTTTCGCATCGGGAAGTTGTACCAGGGTGCTGAACAGTCAAGAGTTTGCACCTGAGCTGTGCTGTGTGGGTTGGAGTGGTTTAAACACTCATATAAGAGTGAGACAGGCCAGGTAAACTGAGGGAATTGTGAGGCCCAGTTAATGATACAACGATAACAAATTGCATTTACTATACATAGCACCTTTCACCGCAGGAGAATATTCCAATATTTATAAAATCTTTTTATAAATATTTCCCATTGTTTCAATAATTGGTATTTATGATAGTTATAAATATTTTAAAAATATTTTATAAATATTATAATATGAAATATTGAAACAATGCGAAACTGGCCAGCACATATGTAGTGTAATGCAGAGAGTTAGTCAATGGCTCTGTTGCACACCACTTCATCATCACAACTCATTAGATCTCAATGCTCCGGGCGGTCTTCTTAAACACAATCCACCCCCTTAAAATCTCACAGCAGCATGCTGCCTCCGGAACGCATTTTACACAAGGTTGTGGCATGAAATTGGAAAGGGTACGCTTAAATGTGTCCAGAGTAAAGAAATAAGAACTTACAGAACTTTGAAAGTAAAGTGCAAATTTGAGACTTTGACAGCGCTCCTTCTCCCATACACACAACCGTACAAACTGAAACGCAAACTCTCAGTGTGGTGAATATTAAGCATTGGGCCTGAAATTCTATAAATACTTTTTAAATATTCTCTTGTTGGCAGATATATACGTGATAGCACAGAGACCATGATGGACAAAGATGTGACAATACAAGGTCCCAAAACAGTCGTGGATTGAGTGACCACATTCTTTTCTTTTATAAGGGATTTTATTGGGCAGTGAGTTCCACAAGTTCACTACTCTCTGCGTGAAGAAGTTTGTCCTAAATTTTCTCTGAGTTCCCCTAAGTCACTATTTTATACTTGTGTATCCTGGTTACAGACTCCCCACCAACAGAGATTTTACGCTAACGTTATCAAACCCTTGTTTAGGTTCCCTCTTAAATGTCCAGTAAAACCTAGCCAATCTATCCTAAAGTCTATTACCTGCCTGCCCTGGTGTTATTTGAGGAAACCTACGCTGTATTTGTACCACTGCTACTAGGTGCTATATTGATCGTATACCATATGATGCCCAGACACAAACGATCTGCATATGCACTGTGGTGGGGGAACGCTCTGGTACTCACCTGCTCAATCAGCAGGGCTGCGAGGCTGGAGAAGGCGTCTCCGAACTGGGGGCCATACGAGATGGAGTCCCTCAGTAAGTGCTCTGCCTCTGCCCATCTCCTCTGGGATCTGCACAACCAAACAGGAAGCCGCGGTTACTGGAGATGCTCTCGCTGCGTGAAATGATGATAATAATCCTTGCATTTGATATAGCGCCTTATCACGTCTTCGAAATGTCTCAAAGCGCCTCACAGAATATACTGTAAAGTGAATCGACTGTAAATTTTATGGGCGAAATATCTCACGTGTTGCCGTTCTGCACAGAAACAAACATCGAGACTCAAGAGTGTGAGTGAGCATGAGAGAGAGTGTTAAAGAGAGACTGACGGTGAGTGAGACAGATTTTTTGGGGGTCAGCCGGGTGTGACAAATGCAGAAATGCATCACCATGTTTAAGAGTATCCAAACCAAGCTGAGAATTTCATATATTTCACCAACATATGGAAATCCGATAGATTGTTGGAATAGAGCGACACATCATTCTTACATAATTTCAGAAAGTATTTGGCACAGGTTGGCAAGAGCCAAGGCTTGGGGACCCCAGAGTGTGCGTTGGGGCACTGCTGGAGTCTAACCAGCTAAAACCGCATATCTTGCTAGAACCACCCTACCGGTAGGGCTTTGACTTTGCAGGGTTAACAGGAGCCTATTGGGATGATTCCCTGTCCCAGTGGCTGGTCTGTCCTTCCAAGTATTGTAGACCCACTGATTCAGGAACCCAAGTTCTCTTACTTACGAAGGGAGTGTCCTAACAGGCGCAATGTTAACCCTTTAGAAAGCTATAAGACAAAAACAACAAATTACACTTGTATAGTGACTTTCATGTCGGATAGACGGCCCAGGGTGCTGGACAATCAGGGGTTTTGGACCCGAGCTGGGAGTTGGGGTCAGAACGGGAGGAGGTCAGGAGTAGTGGGGGTGGGAGGGTGGCCAAAGGCATGATCGAATAGGAAGGTTATCAGATGGGATTCGAAGGAGGGAGTGAGGTGGAGAGACTGCGGGATAGAGTTCGGGGACAGAGATGTTGAATGCCTGACTACCAATGGTGGGGTGGGAAGTGTGGAGAACCTGAAGCAGACCAGTGTGCCACGAGCAGAGGGTGCGGACAGGCTGATATGGGATTATGTGGTCGGAGAGGAAGAGGGGAGCAAGACTGGAGGGCTTTAAAGGGAATAATGAGGGTTTTGTACTCGATTTTCTGAGGGTTGGGGAGCCAATGAAGCTGGGCAAGAGCAGGGTGATAGGTTCCCGGAACCTGATGAGGGAGAGGACACGAGCTGCAGAGTTCTGAATAATCTGCAGCTTGTGGAGGGAAGAGTTGGAAAGTTCAGAGAGCAGACAGTTGGCACAGTCAAGCCGGGACGTAAAGAAAGCATGGATCAGGGTCTCGGCGGCCTCCGGTGAGAGGCCGTAGCAGAGGTGGGCAATGTTGCGGAGATGTGGAAAAGCAGAACGGGTCACGGCACGAATGCGGCCATGAATGGTGATAGTGTCAGCGGCTGAGGTGATGAAGCATTGCCAGGAGCCAAGCAGGAGGGCCTCTGTCTTGCAACATTGAACTGGAGGAAGTTGGCTCTTGTCCAGGAGCCAGGACTCCAGTTATGAGTGAGCAAGAGGTGTTAGAGAAAGACAGAGTGAGTGTATGTTTGGGAGAGAAAGAGAGGGAGAGAAAGAGAAACAGGTAGACAAATATTTTACTGAATTATTACTGGGGTAAATCTGACATTCTGTTACCAAGCATGTCATCATACTGGAGCCAGTTCAATAAGCCCCACATCCACACACAAACACACACCAGCAGGGAGAGTGATTTGCATCAAAGTTGTGTGACTGAGACCCCAAGTACAGAGCAATGGGTTTGAGCAAGATGTAATGAGATTGGAAGCAACGGTGGAAATTGGTGGACTCCGCTGAAGAAAGGCAGGATCAGTGAAGTCTGCAGTTGGCTGCCACATCTACCCGCAAAATACACAGTCATTGCACCTTACAGAAAAGTCTGACAAGCTTTGATAGCTTTTGAGGTGATAAGGATTATAATCATTTTAGAATGCTGCCAATGAACCCTCACCCAGTCCTTCAGAGCGAAACTACCCACAACCATGTCAGTCTGGCTCAGTCAGTTGCACTTTTGCCACTGAGTCAGCAACAAGATATTTACTTGTAAAGGTTTCCTAGATTGAAGAGAGCCCGATTGTGTTGGGGGTTCAGCTTCAGGGCCTGTCTGTAGTGAATCTCAGCCTCCGATACGTTTCTGGTCAAAGTGCCAAGGTTGTTGAGTGCGCTGGGGTGACGTGGGTACAACCTGCCAAGAGAAGAAAGGGTTAGCATCGCGCCTGTTCAGCACGCTCCACCGCTGACACACACTGTCTTACAAATGGTGACGCGATAACTTGCATTGGAGTCCCATAGCATTGTGGTTTGCGTATTCGCCTTGCAAGCGAGAGGATCTGGGTTCGATTCCCAGGTGGGGCAAAACCTCAGACAACTTTCCTTACTCCACTGTTTGCCTAGCAATAAATAAGAACATGATTGTTGCTTGGCGGATTGCTTTATCGGGGTAATAATCCATCCAAAAAAATCATCATTCAATACATGAGAGTGGGATGCCGCTGTGTGCAAACGGCTGCTGCGTTTCACCCACAAAATACAGTTAGTCCACTTTACAATATACTCTGAAGCACTTTGAGACACTTCAATGATGTGCTAAGGCGTTATACCAAATACAAGGTTTATGATTGTTACTATATTGCACCTTTCACGTCAGAGCGCTTCACAAAGACCAGGTTAGACAGATGCCTCAGTCCAATGCACTCATCATGGCAGGTGATGATAGGCGAAGTTGAAGAGGTACAGTTTTCAGTGGAACTTAAACAGACAGAGCGGGCAAGACGGAAGGATGGAGGAAAGGATTTCCCAAGGATAGGCACACAGTTGCTGAAGGCTTGGCCTGTGATGGTGGTGAGGAGGTGCAGCAGGTCTGAGTTAGCTGTGCACAGGGGGCGAGCACAGGGGTGGGGTAGATTTGTGGTGAGGAAGGATGTAGTTGAGTGACAAGGGATTTCATAAGCCTGATGTCAAGGAGACAGCTACAATAAACTGTCACAGTGAACATGCACGTACACCATCTGCATTCAGGGACTAAAATTGTGGGAGAAGGCCTCTGTGTTATTAAAGGGGGGGATAGAGACATTGGGCTGCTCAGCTTTCTGAGCGGCTAAGTTTAGGAAGAATCAACCAGGTTTTAACAGAGTCCGTTGACAATTCACTAAATTATTAAGTTTATTATTATTATATTAATAATAATAATAATAATCCTTGTATTTGATATAGCGCTTTTCACGTCGGGAGGACGTCCCAAAGCGCTTCACAGAACACACTGTAAAGTGAATTGACTGTATATTTGTGGGTGAACGCGGCAGCCAATTGCGCACAGCAATGTCCCACAAACAGTCGTAGATTGAAAATGACCAATTTATTATTGTTTTTGTTTTTTTGGAGGGATTATTATTAGGCGTGTGGAGTAAGGAAACTTGCCCAAGGTTTCGCCCTGCCTGGAATTGAACTCAGGTCTCTCACTTGCAAAGCGAGTGCTCTAACCACTGAGCTACAGGACTCCACGATATTATGCTGGGAAACCAAGGCTGCCTTCATTTGTCATTCCGAGGGCAGATTAATGGGGAATCTGGCTGAGTTTAGATGGGTTTGGTGGGGGGGGGGGGAAGCAACACTCTGACCGGCCTCCCTGACACATTCAGGGTGATGGTCGCAGTCTGACACCCAGTATGGGGAGCGTCCAGACACTCAACAACGATATTGGTCATTCTTTCTGCAGCTGTTTGAACTGGCTGCAGGGTTTGTCTGTGAAACATGGGGTCTCTACATATTACAGAAAGGTAGTGATGCACTTTGAGACTTTCCCTGACTCATCCCTCCACTTCGATGTGTGTCTTCAGATCGCATCTGAAGACTTTCCTCTTCAACTGTGCTTAAGGTCACCTTCCTCCTCTCCCCAGCTTGGCATCAAGCTCCACCCCTGTTAAGCGCTCTGAGACTCTATAAACGGCCCAACATAAATGCACATTGTTGTTGTCGTTAGAGGTGATGTATCAAAGACAGCATTTGATATCGCAAAGTGAAAAGAGGGTGATAATAATATTCCTTTCATTTGATATGGTGCCTTATCACGTCATTTATATGTGAAGTGGATTGACTGTATTTTGTGGGCAAAACATGGCAGCCAATTCCACACAGCAGTGTTCCACAAAGTCGGTTTTTTTTGTAGGGATTATTACCCCCCAGAAAGCGATTCGCCAATCATCTAACAACCGGGTTCCTACTTACTCCTGGGTAAACAGAGGCATGTGGTGCAAGGAGACTTGTCCAAGGTTTTGTTTTGACCAGGAGTCATCTCACTTGCAAGGCGAGCACGCTAACTAACCACTATGCTACAGCACTCCACAAGCAAGCGACACATTGCCTTGGTCTGAACCGGCTTGAAGGTTGGAAGAACTCCTCCCTTGTAAATGGGGAAAGAAGGGTGTCGCCACGGTTACTTTTATGTTCCCTATCAGGAGGGCATACAAAGTTCTGGCGAGTGGCCGAGAAATTGCTTTGGGCCTGCAGACTCTGATCAGAGACACACCTCTTTGGCTCACACAGGGTCTTAGTCACACACAGACTCCCTTTGTTACAGAGAGATGTTTCAGCTCAAAAGAAAAGACAAGCCAGTCTCACGGTGCTCACATCTCACACACTTACTTGAGGGCTGTCTTATAATGATATATTGCTTCACTCTGGCGGCCTTGGTCCTTCAGGAAGTTAGCGTAATTATAGTGCACCTTGGCATTGAGTGGCAGTGTCTGAACTCCAGCCCTTACAAATTAGAGAGAGGGGTGGGGGGGGGGAGAGGGAAAAGGAGAGAGAGAGAGAGAGAGTGTCACAATGACAACGCCAGGCCAAGTTTGAATTAACTTTTCCATTCACCAATGAGTGCAAGTTTCTTTCTTGTGTTGCACTCAACAACATCTGCAATTATTTCCCACAGTGTCACTCAGCTTTTACACAAAATCCACCAGCCATCGTGGTGCTAGTTCACACTCGATCGTCCGGACGGTAAAGACATTGTGTGAGTGGGAGAGCCCAGCTCTCCCCTGGGTTCTCAACAGCTAAATCAGGGCACATCATTAGCATATGTGTAACCATGTACAGATGTGTCCACAAGTTTGTGCATGCACACGTTTGTGTGAATCATTATGTGCATGGATGCAATTTGTGCATGCACGTGTGTGCATATTCCTATTTGTGTGCATGCGTATGCTTACACACAAGTGTGTAGATGGTTCAGCGTACGTGCACATGTATGTGTGTTCACATGTGCATACACCTGTGTTGGCACATATGCAGGTGCTTGTGTATATGCTTATCTATGTGGTGCATGCATGCGTGTTTGTGTCTGCATCCTTATGAATGTGCATGTATGCATGTCTGCATATCTGCATGTGTGTTTGTGTATATATTTATATGTGCTTGTGTTTATATGGGAATGTGGATGCATCCACATAGGTGTACATTTGTGTGCAATTTATGCATGTGTATGTGCATACTTGCATGCATGAGCATGTTTACCTCGTGAATGCGTGTGCATTTATGTGCATGTAAATGAACACAACACAGAAAAGGCTTTGGTCAAAGTGATGAACATTTTGTTTATGTGCAACCAGGGCACCCTCTGCCTCCTCATCCTCCCTGACCTCTCTGCTGCCTTCGATGCTGTTGACAACCGCCTCTTCGCTAACCTCAACCTTCATGGCTCTGTCCTTGAATGGTTCAGATACTATCTCTCACCCCGTCTCCACTTCATCTCCACGAACGGCTTCTACTCTAGCCCCCGCACTATTTTGTGCAGCATTCCTCAGGGCTCTGTCCTTAGTCCCCTCCTCTTCAATATCTATCTGCTCCTTCTTGGCGACATCATCTATAGACATGGGGTCAAGTTCCACATGTATGCGGATGACACCAAACTGTACCTCTCTGCCTCCAAACTTGACTCCAGGACCACTGCTGTCCTGACAGAATGTCTGTCAGACATCAAGACCTGGATGAGAGCTAACTTTCTTCTGTTGAACGTCAACAAGACCCAGACCCTTCTGATTGGCTCCTGTCAGCCTCTCCACACCTCAGGCACTGACAGCATCACCATCCAAGGATGCACACTCCATCTTACTAAGCCAGTCCAGAACCTTGCTGTCTTGTATGACTATCCTTTCTACCCCATATCCAAGCCATGACCCACTCTGCTTACCCCACTTCGCAACGTCGCACAGCTCTGCCATTGTCTGACACCAAAGGCCACCGAAACCCTCATACATGCATTCATAACCTCCAGGTTTGACTATGCAAACTCCTTGCTTGTCGGCCTCCCCAATCATTTCTCCATAGGCTGCAGATCAGCTAAAACTCTGCAGCCCGTGCCAGGCTCCGCAACTCTATCACCCCCATCCTCACCCAACTCCACTAGCTTCCCACATAGGATACAGTTCAAGATCCTGGTCCTCACCTTCAAAGTCCTCCATGGCTTTGCTCCCCCTACCTCTGTGACCTCCTTAAACCCTACCAACCTGCCTTCTCCCTCTGCTCAGTGGGCTCCGGCCTGCTTCAAGTCTCTGTCTCACTTATCCCACCAACAGCAGTCGGGCCACTCTGCCCCACCCTCTGGAACTCCATCCCACAGTCCCTCTGCTCCGTCCCCTCCCTTGCCTCCTTCAAGATCTATCTCAAGACCCTCCTCTTCGACATGTCTTCAATCACTCTCCTTCCCCCCTACCACTTCAGTCATCATACTGTCAATGTCCTGGCCGCATTTATTTACACACATACTTAACCTGCACTCTGGATAACTTGTCGCTGAGCCCTTTCTGCTGGGAGTGACAAGTTATCAAGAGTTTGTTGTACGTGAATGTGTGTGTCAATGTGTGCTAGAGTAACGTTTTAACCACCTCTGCGAGTGATAGGTCCTGAATTTTAACAGTCTCATCTCACCTGAAGAGGGACTCCCTGGACAGCCACACCTCATTCTGTCTCACTGTCTTCCAGAAAAATAGCCCCAGTAGGAGCAAGGTGGACAGCATCACGATAGAGGCTCCCCACTTACTGAGCACCGCACACAACCGCTTCACTCCATGCACCACCAGGATACAGTAGCCCATGCTGGAGTGAAAGGCAGACATATGAAACAAAACACTTTCTTCCCGCACCGGAACACACATCTTATCAACCACCCGGGTTTAATGCAGAAGCTGCTCTCTCCCTCCCTCCCTCGTTCGCTCGTCCCTGCCTCTGTTAGGCAAAATCACACACTAAAAACTTCAGGATCAGAATTGAATCTTAGAACACAAGCGACGCAGCGAATGTGAATGGAATCGTGAATGGGAACAGGGAAGGAAAGCCGAGTACCAAGAGACCCCAATCGACTACCATCCCCCTAAAATTGGTATCGGGTTCTGGACTGGACCGAACACACATACAGTAAAATGTGCTCCCGCCTAATGTTTCCCTCTATTGATAGCCTGTCCGGCTGCGGTGCACCATTCAGTGCTGGCGGGGTGAGGGGCATTGGAAGGCCAAGGAACCCCTAGGCAGCTGAGCTGTCACTGTGGTTGTCTTTCAATAACTAGCGACGATTTGGAGACTCGTTGCGTTCTTCTGATTGTTTCTGCGCCAGACAGTGAGCAGTTGACCAACAAATGACTGAAAAGCCATCGCTGAACCTCAGCCTGCGGATTCCTGTAAAAGGCCCAGCCTCCTACTGTCCACTTGAGGCTCTCTCACAATAATTCTGATGCAACTGAAAGGCCAAGGGTTTGGCTGCTCTCCACCCTACCAGCCACCACTGAGTTCAGCTCTGCTCCCTGGGGCAGAACGACAGGCAGCGTAAACAACTCCAATGGAACTGATAATAATCCTTGTGTATGATATAGCACTTTATCATGCCATTGCAATGTCTCAAAGATCTTCACAGGATATATTGTCAAGTGGATTGACTGAATCAATGAACTACAGGGTCTTTCTTACTGCTAAATAAACAGATGTGTGGAGTAAGGAAACTACCCTAAAGTTTTGCCTCATTCGGGAATCAAACCCAGGTACTCTCGTTTGTGAGACGAGCTCACTAACCACTACGCTACCAGAATCCACATTAGATAGTCCAAAGTTTCTTACCTGGGCATGTACAGAACCCTTTCAGCTACCACAAAACCCACCCTGAAAAACAGATTGCTGGCGGGTACAAAAGGCAGTGCCAGGAACAGCAAACCAACCAGAATCTCCCTGTGTTCCAGCCTCTGAGGAAGAGAAAGAACAGGGAGTCAACACCAGATGAGACATGGTCTGACTGAATCCTGCGCCTCACTGCATCCCCAGATTTAACAACAACTTGCACACACAGCAATGTCCCACAAACAGCTATGGAGTGAGTGACGATATTTTATTTGGAGGAATTTTTAGCCAGGACACCAGGAGAAACTCCCTTCTAAGAACATAAGAATTAGGAGCACGAGTAGGCCATTCGCCCCCTCGAGCCTGCCTTGCCATTCGATAAGATCATAGCTGATCTTCTGACCTAATTCTAATTTCCTGCCCTCTCCCCATATCCCCCAATCCCTCTATTTTTTAAAAATCTATCAGTCTCAGCCTTGAATAAGTCTCTTTTTGAATAACACCAGGGGATCTTTAACAACAACAAAAACAGCAACAACTTGCATTTATATAGCACCTTTCACTCGAGTAGCATCCCGGAGCACTTAACATCCATGTGAACTGGCAGACGGGACCTCGGTTTCCTGTCTCATTCTAAGCGTTTGGAGCACTTAAAGAAAAACCTTGAAGTAGTTATTGAGAAACTCTTCCAACATCAGGCAAAGAATCCAGTGAGAGCAAGAATGAGAATTATTAATAAGAAGTCAGGAAAAAGGCAGGCATGTGAAATGTAATTTGCTAAAGAATATTTCTCAGTAATTGAGTGGCTGGCTGATAGAAGATAGGTAGCCTGGAGCGCCCTTCTTATTAAATACAAGTGAGCGACCGAGATCTCTTTGTAAGCAACAAGACTTAATGAGACTGTGATTAATTTCTTCAGTGTCAAGGAATACAAGTTCCCATTCAAGCTACGAGATCTCATGACTTTTCTGGATCATTGTCATGGATTTGTTCCGTCGGACTCTCTGTTTCTTGGGAATGGCTGGAATTGGAGACCGGCCCCGTGGAGGAGGAAGGGAATCCTGGTGAAGTGGGAACAGATCATGGGTGGGGGAAGTGCATAACAGCGTGACAATTCCATTGAAGAACACAATTAAATACAGCTGCGGTGGCCAACCTACGAAATAAACGTTTCTTGATTGAATATCTATCTGTTTTTCGAATGAGATGTTAAAGCGAGGTCCCGTCTCACTGTTCCAGTGGATGTTAAAGATGCCCTGGCACTACTCGAAAAGGCCAGGACACCGAAAGAGAGAGAAACTCCCATTTCTTTTCAAAAGTGGGATCTTTAATGTCTATCTGAAAAGATAGACAAGACCTCGGTTAACGTCTCATCTGAAGAATGGCACTTCTGACAATGCAACACACCTCCAGCACTCCAATCATTGGAGTGTCAGCTTGGACTGTGTGATTCCAAGTTCTGACGTATGTCTCGAACCCGTAACCTTCTGACTCAGGCAAGAGTGCTATCACTGAGTCAGGCTGACACACCTACAGCGCAATATCACGTGATTCAAAGCGCTTTACAGGATTCACTACAGAATTAGTGACTGCGTATTTTGTAGGCCAAAGCTAGAGTCAATTTGTGCACAGCAATGTCCCACAAACAGCCAGTCAATTAGAGGCACCGGGTGCTGGATTGGGGAGTGAGGAGGTGGGAGAGGTAGGGAGGTGCCAGGGAGTGAATGGATTTGATCACGAGTGTGAGGATCTTGAAGTCGATCAGTTCAGTAATGGGGAGCCAGTGGAGCCTGGCCAGAACTGGTGAGATGGGGGTACAGCGATGTAGACCAAAGCTACCGTCTTCAACAGAGGGTGAGGTGCTCAAAGGAGGAGAAATAGCCACAGGAATAGGGGGAGAGGCCAAGGGAAGCTTGGGAGATGAGGGCATCCTGCTGTCACGTTGTTTGGAGTGTGGTGAAAAGTGTAGCCACGAGGGGAGGCTTCAACGAGGGGGACGAGGTCACCAGGGTGAGCCAGGTTTCTGTAAACCCAAGAATATCAATGTCAGGAGGAGGTCAGGGATAGTAAGGGCTTTATTGGAAAGGGAGCGGACATTTTGGAGGAAAATGCTTATAGGTTTGCTGGTAGGTGGGGAGGTGGGGTGGGGAGTTATAGGGTGGATTTGGGGTCGTGGGGGAGAAATGATTGTTGTTGAGGTGAGGGGAGAGTTGAAGAGGGTATGGCTGAGTGAGGGGGAAGGGATATTTGCCTTTCGGAGGAATATTTTCAGAGGGAGTGGCTCAGTTCGGGGCAGCAGCCAAAATGCGCACGCAGAGACCGGAAGCACGAGGTCAGCATTCATCCACCCGTAGCCTCGGCGGTCACTCGCTCCCATGTGATCTCGGCGGTCGCTCGTTTCCCGTGGTTCAGATTTGAAATTCCGTCTCCACGTCTGGACAAGCAAGTGGCCCTGCTCTGCCCATGGCCTGCCTCACCCCGCCGGTGCCCGCCCGTGGCCTACCTCGCACCCCCTCTTTTGTCAAGCGAGCCTTTGACCCTCGTGCCAGTCACTGCCCGCTAGTCCCGTGCTCCCAGCACTCACTGGTCGCGTCTGCGTAACAGTCAGACAAGATTTTACTCCGTTTGACATCTCAACCGAAAGAGACGGGAGCTCTTGCTCTAGAGTGTCAGCCTAGACTATCAGCTCAACGGAGTCAACAGTCCAGTGAATGGGTTTACAAGGACTCTCCCAGTTAATGTCTCCAATATCAACAACAACAGCTTCCACTGATATAGCACGTTTCACTTGGGGGTAGCAACTTGGAGCGCTCAGCAGTGGTGGAGCTTGACAGAAATGTGACTGGAGGCAGTGAAGAGGAATGTTAGTGGAACTCTTTCAAACAAGACATTTCCAGATGGTTTCCATCCAATGATTTTTTTTCCACTTTCCAAACTGACAAAATGTTTCTGATGTGAATGCCACCTGCACTTAGAAGCTGGTCTCCAGCCTCGCTCAGCAAGGAGCATTCTCCCCTCCAGTCCACATAGTTGTGAGTTTAAGGCTCACAGCGGGACTTTGAGCTCAGTCAAGGCTGGCACTCCAGTGCTGCATTGTTGGGAGTTACTATGAGATGTTAAGATGTTAAGCTGAGTTCCTATCTGCCTATTCAGATAGCACTATTCAAAAAGTCAAGGAAGTCTCTCTAAGTGTCCTGACTCAATAATCCCCCAGATAACATTGGTGACTCACTCAATAGCTGTATATGGGACATTCCTGTGTGCAAATTGGCTCCTGTGCTCGCTTATAAATGCAGGTATTACACTTTACAGTAAATCCTGTGAAGTGCTCTGCGCCATCTCTTGATGTTAATAGTGCTCTACCAAATGCACGGAATATTCTTATTAATGCTGAAAGGCCACAATATGCCACAAGACAGGGCTCACAAATGAGAGGTTAAACCACGTTTGCCTATAAAACAGTCACCGTACTTCACAGTAAAACCTCTTGGAAGCTCTGTAAACAGTTTCGACGATGTGACATGGCACGAATGTGAGGATTATCATGACATCCTCTCTCTCTCTGTGACCAGGGCTACCTCTGCCTCCTCGTTCCCCTGGACCTTTCCAACACAGTCGATCACACCATCTTCCTCCACTGCCTCCCTCATCCATCTCAGTGGGGCCCTATTTGCGTGGTTCGAGTCCTACTTAATAAACTGCCAACAATACATCCCAGCAGATGTTTTTTCCTCCCACCTCCGTCCGGTCACCTGCGGGGTACCTCAAGGTTCCACCTTTGGTCCCCTTCTTTTCCTTATCTAAAGGCTCTCTCTTGCCAATGTCATCCGCAGACATAGGGTCCACTTCTAGATGTATGCAGATGACACCCAAATCTACTTCTCCTCCTCCAGCTGCAACTTCCAACCTGCTGATGTTCTGTCAGCGTGTTTGATGGACATCAAGGCCTGGAGGAGTGTAAATTTCCTGCAGCTGAATGCCAGCTAGACGGAAGGCACACTCTTTGACTCCCGTCAACGCCTTCTCTCCTGCAGGTCTGAACTCCTCATTCTCCCTGGGCTGTCCCTCAGACTCTCCAAACCCGTGCGCAAATTAGCCGTCGGGTTCGATCCCCAACTTTCTTTTCTACCCTACATCCATTACCTGACCAGGACCGCTTTTTTCCACCTCTATCACTTTGCCCGCCTCCGTCAGTACCTCACAACCAACGCAACCAAAACCCTTGCTCTACGCCTTCGTCACTTCCCAGCTGGACTATTTCAATGCCCTGCTCACTGGTCTCCCCCGCTTCACCATACACAAAATTCAAGTAATCCAAAACTCCACCACCTGGATACTCACCCACACAAAACTATGGACCCCCCATCAAACCAGTCCTTGCTAGGCTCCACTGGTTCCCAGTTACCGAACTGATCAATTTCAAGATCCTCTCACTTGTTTTCAATTCCCTTCATGCCCTTGCACCTCCCTAAATTATCCGATCTACTTATCCCCCACTTCACCATCCACTTTCTCCGCTTGGCTGGCTCTGGCCTCCTGTTTGTCCCTCGCCCCTCCACCATTGGTGGCCACGCTTTCAGCCACAACCCACCGAAACTCTCTTCCTCAATCCCTTACGAAGGCTTTTGGACCAAAAGGACTTGAACCATCTATCTTTCCCCTAACCTGCAAAGCCTCCCACACTGACCTGGGCAGACAGAAGGCAGGTGAAGGTCAGCAGGAGAATGCCCAGGACAAATGCTGCTGTGGCCACGTTTCGTGCGTCCCACAAGGACTCCACCAGAGGAATGCTCCCCACTTGCCAATCGTAGCACAGGGTTATCGGCGCTAATAGCAACCATGCGTTAAAGACCAGCAGGTAGGAGTATGTGAGAAATCTGCAGGACAAACGGCAAAAATATTTAATTAGAACAAGCCTCCTATAAGCTGTTCAAAACTCACAGTCATTCCACCTTACTTCATATCCTGTGAAACGCTTCAAGTTATCCTCCCGACACAAAAGTTGCTAAACCAAATGTAAGGACTATCATTAGTAATAATAATTCTTGTATTTTATATAGAGTCTTATCACGTTGTCAAGAAGTCTCAAAGCACTTCACAGGATAGAGTGTTAAGTGAAGTGACTGTGTGTTTTGTGGGTGAAATGCAGCAGCCAGTCTGCAAACAGCAATGTCCCACAGCAACAACATGCATTTATATAGCGTTCCTCACACCGGGTAGTGTCCCAGAGCGCTTGATAGTGGCGAAGCACAACGCCAAACCAGGGGCCTGGGGAGGCACGATCAAATAGGAAGGTCTTCAGGCGTGAACTGAAGTTGGAGAAGGAAGGGGCAAGGTGGAGAGAAACAGGAACAGCATTCAGGGCACCGTAGCTGAAAACACGGCCACTGATGGTGGAACGGAGGGCACGAGGAACGTGCAGAAGTTAGTCGAGCGGAGGCAGCGGATTTGGGGGGTAAGAGGTTGGAGAGGTACCAGGGCATGAAGGGATTTGAAAACGGGTGTGAGGATCTTGAACTTGATCCATTCGATGATGGGGAGCGTGGTTAGAACTGGTGTGATGGTGATATGGTATTTAGTACAGGTGATTATGCGTGTGGCTGACTTTTGGATCAGTTAGATCCTGTGCATGGTGTAGCTGGGGAGACCGGCAAAAGGGCATTTGAGAAGTCGAGTCGGGAGGTGATGAACGCATGGACGAGTGTTTTGGCTGTATCTGGGGTAAGGTACGGTTGGAGGTGGGCAATGTGGCAGAGGTGAAGAAAAGTGGTCCTGGTCAGGGACCGAATGTGAGAAAGGAAGGACAGCTGTGGGTCGAACCTGACGCCTAGGTTGTGCACTGGTCCAGTAATTCTGAAGAATAAGCCAGAGAGGTTGAGGAGATCAGAGCCGCAAGATAGAAGACGTTGACGGGAGCCAATGAGTATAGCTTTCATCTTGACAACATTTCACTCATTCAGGCCCTGATGTCCACCAGACACACTGACAGAACATCGGCAGACCCGGAGTCGCCGCTGGAGAAGCAGATTTGTGTGTCATCCACATATATATGGAAGTTTACCCCATGTATGCAGATGAAATTGCCAGGATGAAGAATGGAGCCCTGGGGTACAGGTGACGGGTGGGGGCAGGAAGAGAAACTGTTTGAGGAGATAAAGTGAAGGCCGTCTGTTTGGTAGGACTCGAACTAGGCTGATGTGGTTCCACTGAGGTGGATGAGGGAGGACAGGCAGTGGATAAGGATGGCGTGATCGACTGTATTGAATGCTACAGAGGTCCAAGAGATAATGAGGCATAGAGAGCCCTGGTCACACAGAGAGAGGATGTCACTTGTGACCTTGACAAGCGCTGGCTCTGTGCTATGGGCAGGGCAGAAACCAGACTGGAGGGGCTCAAGGAGGGAGGGAAGAGCAAAGCTGGTTAGCGACAACGCATTCCAGAGCTTTGGCAAGGAAAGGCAGGTTGGAAATCAGCAATTTTTTAGGTTAGAAGGGTCACGGATTTTTTTTTGAGGAACGGAATGATGACAGCTCTTTTAAGGGGGAGAGGAACAGAACCTGAAGAGAGCAGCTGGTTGACTGTTTCGGCCAACAGCGGGGAGAGGAGGGGGAGTTGGGTGACCAGCAGCTGGGTGGGGAAGGGGTCTAAGCAGCAGGTGCTGGGCTTCATCTGGAAGATGATTGTTCTGAGGGAGGGAGTAATAGGGGCAAGGGGATGTAGGGAGGGGGGAGTGGTAGGGGCTGTGATGGAAGGAGGGGGTGGTGTAGATGGTCTGGGGGTGCAGAAGGGGAAGTAGAGGAAGAGGATGTAGCCAAGTGGATATTTTCAATCTTTGACACAAAAAAGTCTAGGATCTCCTCCATGAAGTGAGTGATTTTATTTGGGGGCAGGACTCCATTCTCTTTTCAAATAGAGCCGTGCGATCTTTAATGTCGACCTGAACTGGCAGGCAGGAATTATTTTAACGTCCCAAGATCTCAGGCTGTACAGGATTTTCTGTGAAGAGTAGTAACTATATTTCTAGGCCAATACGATATCTAATATGCACAGCAATGTTCCCACAAAGAGCAATAAAGAGAATGACCAATTTTGGCCAGGGCACAGGGGAAACTCTTTTCTTTTCAAATCATAGCACAGGATCTTTAACATCCACCCGAACGGGCAGATGGGACCTTGGTTTAAGGTCTCATCTGAAGGACAGTGCCTCTGACAATGCCACCTGGCTTCAACCTAGATTGTGAGTTCTGACGTGGGGCTTCAACCCACAATCTTTCCAACCCAGAGGCAAGAGTTCTACAAACTGAGCAGGCTGACACATGAAAACCAGCAAACCAAGCACAGGAATCAAGTCAGCGAACTGCACACAGGACAGGACTTGCTCTGCGGTGAGTCCTATACAGACGGGCAACACACAGCCTTCCAGAAGCAGCTTACCTGGTCAGCAGGTGAGGTGAGAATGAGGCTGGATTGTCCTGTTCGGAGAAGTTGGGCATTGACCCTCCCATGATCCACACTCGGAAAAACAAAATGGCAACCACCTTCAGGAAAAGAAGCAAAGGATCAGTCGGAAAAGCACCATTATCTTGCGGTTCACAATGGTCACAGGCCGCGGAGGATTAACAATGGCACTAACAGTCGTTGGCTATGCAGGAAATTTGGGAAATTTTCCAAGTGCCCCCCCCACTCACGAATCTCCACCCTTATTTTACCGCACAATCCCAGGCTCGATCAGGAGACAGTCTGCTACTGGGCCCATTACGTTTAAACAGAGCAAGTGAAAAACGAGTCCACAAATCTTTTTGGGCTCCGCCCATGAAAAGTTAATCCTGGTCCTGGTCACAGAGAGGCAACGAATACAATGCGCTGAGTGGAAGGGAACCCACACTGATTCTGACCTGGTATTGATGCTCAGGACTGTAAACTTGTGTTGCTGTCCAGCCAGTGTGAATTGGACACTTGCGCAGAAAGGTTATAAATGTGTGGAGAATGGCCCACTCCCCCACTGCCTGTCCAGTCACTCCCCCACTACCTGTCCAGTCACTCCCCCACTGCCTGTCCAGTCACTCCCCCACTGCCTGTCCAGTCACTCCCCCACTGCCTGTCATGTTTCATCTGCTGCTAGTTGAACTCTTGCGGGCAACTTTTCCCATCACAAGTTCGGTGGTGACTTGTGACTTATTTGCCACTATTCTTCTTGGCAATGACGGGCAGTCGTCGCTAACGCATCTAACACCAGACGGAACCCTAAAATCTCTGCTGTGGCCTTCCCTGTTCCCCACCCTAACTCCAGCAGGTCTGGTGTTCTAATCTATAACTCAGAATTGTCAGCAGTCCCATTAAGACCAGGGAGCGAACGTTAATAATCTCCTATTCATAGTCCCTGAATTTCTCAGATACTCACGTAAATGGTGACAAATGCTGCTCTCTTCAGAAAAGGCGTTCCCGCTTTTACAAGTCCTCTGATCTTATGGGAAGATGGGTTACTGCGGTGAGAAAACAAGCTCCTGATTAAAGCCAGACAAAATAAGTGTCTGATCTGGGGCTGCTACCTTTCTCCAAGGTAAGAGATTCGGAAAACAAACCTGGATTGAAGACAGTGGATGCCAGGAAAGTTACACTTGGAACTATCCACAGCAAGGCAGCTATTGTGGAGTCCCGTAGCTTGGTGGTTAGGGCACTCGCCTCGTCAGCGAGAGGACCTGGATTCGATTCCCGGCAGGGCAAAACATTGGGTATGTTTCCTTACTCCACATGCCTCAGTTTAGCTAGTAGTAAGTAGGAACCTGGTTGTTAGTCGATCGGCGGATCGTTTTTCTGGCAGTAATAATCCCTTCCAAAAACGGAACAAATAAATAAGAAGAATTTGGTCACTCAATCCACGACTGTTTGTGGGACACTGCTGTGCGCAATTGCCTTCCGTATTTCACCCACAAAATATAGAGACAATTTACAGTATATTCTGTGAAGCGCTTTAAGACATCTCAAAGACGTGATAATGCACTATATCAAATGCAAGAATTATTATTATTATCATCATCAATCCTGGATCTCAGTGTGTCAGTCTGGATCAGTGGTAGTTCTAGTCTCTAAGTCAGAAGGTTATTCCCCATGTCGGGATTTGAAATCACATAGTCAAAAATGGGCAGCACTGGGGGGGGGGGAATGTTGCATTGTCGGAGGTGCCGTCCTTCGGATGAGATGTTAAACCAAAGTCCCGTCTACCTGTTCAGCTGGATGTTAAAGATCCCAGGGCACAATTCGAGAAGGGAATTTCTCCTGGAGTCCCGACCAACAATCCCAACAAAAATTTAAAAATTGGTCACTCACTCCATTTTTGTGTACAACTCGCCGACAAAATATACAAGTGCTCCACTTTTACAACATAACCTGTGAAGCACTTTGAGACACCAGGATAAGGAGCTATATTGAATTGCAAGGATTGCCAGCCCTTGCCACACGAGGCAGCAGAGCGCTCCTGGCCTGCGGGAACAAGTGTTGGCACAATAACCCGTGATCTGTGCTTCTGAGCTCAAAATGCAGCCGAGGCTAATGGATGAAAATTCCTCTCTCTGACACCGGGTTAAGAGTCCGGTATGAAATGAACGCAGCCTAAGTTTGAATGAGTGTGGACGAACAGCACATTTATCACTTACAGACAAGGTCTGTCACACTGGCATGCAGTATTGGTTGTTTCCTTAGGAATTGCTGGTGAATGTAGTGACTGTGTATTTGTAAGCAGAGAGACCGCAGACAATATCTCACGCAGAAGTGACAAGTCAGCACTAGCACTGCCTTCTTCCACCTCCAACACATCGCCCGTCTCCGCCAATAGCTCTCCCCAAAAGCCGCTGAAACCCTGGTCCATGCCTTTGTCACCTCTCAGCTGGACTTCTCTAATGCCCTCCTCGCCGGTCTCCCATCCACTACCATTCATAAAATCCAGATCATTCGAAACTCTGCCGCAGGCATTCTCACCCGCACAAAACTCTGCTCTCCGATCATCCCAGTCCTTGCCAGACTGCACTGGTTGCCTATCCCAGAGAGGATCGATTTCAAGATCCTCACCCTTGTATTCAAGTACCTGCACTCCTCTGCACCCCACTACCTCTCTGACCTCCTCTCTCCTCAAAACAGTACCCGTTGCCTTCGTTCCTCTGGGTCTGGCCTCCTCCTCCTTCCCCGAGTCCTCCACTCCACCCTCAGCGGCCGTGCCTCCAGCCACACTATGCCCCGAGGCTCTGGAACTCCCTTCCTCACTCCCTTCATCTCGCCCCCTCCCTTCCCATTTTCAGGTCTCTGATGAAGACCTTTCTTTTTGACCGCGCCTTTGGTCACCTTCCACCTGCTCCCCCTGGCTCGGTCCCGGGATCCGTTACTGTAAAGCGCTCTGAGTCACCGTCCGGCGTGGAGGGCGCTATATAAATCCAAGTTGTTGTTGTTGTTGACAGAGCATTGAAGCATTCAGAACTATGTCTCTCAGGCTCCCAGATTGCATTCGTGACAAAAGCTTGCGTGCAGCAGCTTTGAAAACCAGCAACAGAACGAACGCTGGCTTCCTGAGGCTGCAGTCAGTCAACACCGCAGACCTCAGTTACACCCCCCAGCCCATCTACAAACAGGACAACCTGTCACCTCAAGCTTGGCAGCTCAGCTTATTTATAATAATAATAATGCTTGCATTTCATATAGCGCCTTACCACGTCGTCGAGACGTTTCAAAGCGCTTCAAAGAATATACTGCAAAGTGAATTGACTGTATATTTTATGGGTGAAACACAGCTGCCAATTGCGCACAAGTGTCCTACAAACAGTTGTGGATTGGTTTCTCCCCGCACGGGAATCGAACCCTGGACCTCTCGCTGCAAGGAGTCGCTAACCACTCACCTATGGGACTCAATTTCTAGGACAGACCAGGAAGAGTGTACAGTGAGGTGGCTCTGGGAACTGCACTGGCCCTAAAAAAAGTTTGCTTTCCGTTGAATGGTGCCTTGTGCTTTGAGCTGAGTCACAGAAATTCATTGTATTAACACTGAAAGTTAGTCTTTACAAAGTTCTGGTCATGGAGCACACAAAAGGCTTTCATTCCAGAAGCCTCTTTGTAAAGCCTTGCAGGAGCACTGCAACTTATAAACAATTCATCCTCGCTCCTCAAAAGCTTGTCTGTCCCCTGGACTCAGGTGAGGTCACACCAGCACCTGAGTGAGGTGAATGCTTTCATTAGACTTTGTGTAGGGCTGGTCTGCAACAGGAAGCAAAAGCACAGTCTGCAATAACCTGGGAGTTACATAAAGAAAGACAATGGCCAACAATGGTACACAAAAGTGAACTAGTGCCTGAATAGCAGGCAACAGGGCAGGGCCATAAAAAGGGCAGTCAGGGCCGTAGAAAAGGCAGACTGGGCCATGGAAAGGGCAGACTGGGATGTGGAAAAGGCAGACTGGGCAAGAGAATAATAATAATTATACATTTGATATAGTGTCATATCACGTTATTGAGAAGTCGCAAAGCGCTTCACAGAATATATTGCAATAAAAAGGGGCAAGGGCAAATGCAGGCAGGCTGTGGGAAACATATCAGCAGGCATAACTTTACCTTTAAAACCTAGTTTGACCAGAAAATACATGGCATACCCTGTGAAGCGCTTTGAGATGTCTTGACGATGTGATACAGCGCGATATAAAATGCAACAATAATAATAATCCTTACATTTGATATAGCGTTTTTCATGTTTTCTAGATGTTTCAAAGTGCTTCACAGAATATGCTGTAACGTGAATTAACCGTATATGTGTGGGCGAAACACGGCAGCCAATTGCGCACAGCACTGTCCCACAAACAGTCATGGATTTAAATTGACCAATTTATTATTGTTTTGTTTTGGGGGGATTATTATTAGGCGTGTGGAGTAAGGAAACGTGCCCAAGGTTTCGCCCTGCCTGGAATTGAACCCAGGTTATTATAATAATAATACAAGAATGCAATGACATCCATCTACCCTGGGGAAATTAGCAAAAGTATGGACTACATTCAATTGTTTTGCAAGTGTCTTGCGGCTGCAAATGGAAGCAATCAGATTTGGGTAGAGGGGAGCACTTTCAAATGCATCAACGGTTTTTGCTTCCCAGTCAAAGATCATCTGATGAGCTTTGTTAAATGCCGCACTTGATTCTGGGGCACTGCCAGCCTGGGGATGTGATTCCGCATTCACAGGGGTTGAAATTAAAATTTGATACAGGCTAAGCTGCTCTCAAAGGTCAGACCATGATGAAGGAAGCCCTACAAACCGCACAACTGCACTGCAAGTCACGAAAGTGTGCGGCATTATGTCACCTGCAGAACTGAGAGACATGAGGGAGTTGGCGTAGTGGATATCCTAAACATTAGCGAGACAGGAACAGCCCCACTCCCTAGCTCATCAGCCCCTTCACATTTACACCTGTCTTAGTGCTGAGGCTGGACTCCTAGCCTAGTTGGACGGCAAGCGAAGAAGTGGGAAGGGGAAGTGATCCTTGGCGCAGTCACCGAGAAAGGTCTTAAGATGGGATTTTAAGGTAAATAAAAAGAGGGCGAGGTGGAGGGATTGAGGCAGGGAGTTCCAGAGATTAGGAGTGTAGCCGCTGAAGGCACAGTCACCAGTGGAGGCACGGAGGTGTGGTGGATGTGGAGCAGCCCTGTGTTGGCTGAGCAGTGGGAGGGAGGGGGCGGCAGAGAAGCGGTTGAAAGGGCAGCACCTGTGACAATGAGTGCTGTCACCAGCACTGCACTAGAGCATCAGTCTGGACTGTTAGCTCAAAGACCCCGACCCTGAGTCAGAGCAGGTGTGATTCAGACAAAGGCATCATCTCCTCCATTCCACTGTGCACAATCGCAGTCCCTATTCAAACTCCCGGTAATGTGGACCCTAGACCTGTCCATTCTGCATGGAGTTGTCCTGCAGAGCACAGGCTGGTGCCATAGACAGACAGAAAATCAGTGGAGACGAGACCTCAACAGAGCAGCTGACCTGGAGGTGGCATCTACAGCTGCTGTAAGAATTGTGACTATACAGCAACACTAACTTTCCCATCTTACACAGTACAGCATGGAATCCCATAGTGTAGTGGTTAGCACGTTCGCTTCGCCAGCGAGAGGATCTGGGTCCAATTCCCAGGCCGGGGAAACCCTAGCAAGGTTTCCTGACTCCATACTACTGTTTACATAGCAGTAAGTAGGAACATTTAGTCGATTGGTAGATCACTTTCTTTCAAAAAATAATAAAAATAATAAATTGGTCACTTCAATCCACAATTGTTTGTGGGACACTGCTGTGCGCAATTGGCTGCCCTGTTTCACTCACAAAATATACAGTCAACTCACTTTACAGTATATTCTGTGAAGCGTGATAAGGCACTATATCAAATGCAAGGATTATTATTTTATTATTATGATGTTCACCGTACACCACATGGCTAAAAAGTGACAACTGTGGCTCTTTCACAAGGTTCAACAGCAAAAAGGCCTGTGCCATTGGCGCAGACTTACAGTAAAGGTCTTCGAGGGCACAAAATGAGAAGGTCGTAGATAACGCACACTCCAAAGACGGTTACACCAGTCTCCTTCACCAACATTGCACAGGTTCCCAGCAACAGACTGAACAGCAGGAAGATGGGAGAGGTGGTGGGAGCAAAATATTCTCCCGAACGTCGGCTGTCCACACTCCTGGAAAGAGGAATAACCACAATTAGAACATGGATTAATTTATACCACCTGTCTCTGACTGTGACCGAGTCAGACATTACTCACTGACTGTAAGTGAGAGTGGAGCCGTACAGTCGGAATGTCAGTGAGAGAGTAGAGTTGTACACCGACTTTAGGTGAGAAAGTGGAGCTGTACATTCTGACTGTAGGTGAGAGAGTGGAGTTGTACAGTGTGACTGTAGGTGAGAGAGTAGAGTTGCACACTCTGACTGTAGGTCAGGGAGTGGCGTTGTACAGTCTGACTGTAGGTGAGAGAGTGGAGCTGTACAGTCTGACTGTAGGTGAGAGAGTGGAGCTGTACAGTCTGACTGTAGGTGAGAGAGTGGAGCTGTACACACCTAATGTAGGAGAGAAAAGCCAAAAGGAAGAAGAGGCAAGCCAACACATCTGCTCGGCCGACAATCCCCGTCACCTGGAGAAAGAACAGAAAGTTAAAGGGCTCCAGCCTCCAGCAGGAATCTCAGTGTAAAACTGGCAGTTTCACACCCTCCTCTCCCTCTCCTGTTTTCTCCACTTTGAAGGAGCAAACAATGAGATGGAGATGGGGCTCCTTACATTTGTACGGTCCTTACAACACAACTCTACATTCCTACAGCACCTATCACATCGAGAGGATGTTCCAAGGTACTTTACAGTCTAGGCATCTAAGGTTCCATTCTTACCGAGCGCCAGCACAGGCATGTTGGGCCGAATAACTCCTTCTACACTTCGGAGTCCCACAGAGTATTAGTTAGCTCACTCGCCTCGCAAGCAAGAACCCGGGTTTGATTCTCCGTTAGAGGGAAACCTTACTCCATACGCCTCTGCTTATCTAGCAGGAAGTAGGTTGTTAGTTGAGTGGTGAATCACTTTCCAAGGGTAATAATCCGTCCCAAAAAAATGATGATAATTTGGTCACTCAATCCACTACTGGCTGCTGCTTTTCGCCCCCAAAATATACAGTCAATCCACTTTACAATATATTCTGTGAAATGCTTTGAGACGTCTCAATGAGGTGACATGGCGCTATATAAATGTAAGGATTATTATTATCATTATTATTATTATTACACTTAAGTGTTCTGTGATTTATGAAACTGATGGGTGAAAATCTGTGCCAAAAATTGGCAGAAATTTAATGCGAGTGTGAAAGGAAAGTCCTGTGGTCAAAGAAAGCCTTTGTCAAAACACGTTTGTTTCTTTTCCGATTATGTGCTGCATCTTTTCCGTAGTTCCTGCTCCTGTTGTGTCAATGCAACAAAAGAGCCTTTTCAATTTAAGAGGCCTTGATTCCAATGCCCTCCTCGCCATTCTCCTCAGCTCCAATACCCACAAACTACATCTGATTCAGAACTCCACTGCCTACATACTCAGCCACACTAAAATCCATACCCCCATCACACCAGCCATCGACAGACTCCACTGGCACTCTATCATAGAACGAATCGATTTCAAGATCCTCTCACTGGTCTACAAAAAGCTCTGAAGCTTTGGAACTCACTCCATCAATCTATTCACCTCGCCCCCTGCTTCCTCTCTTTGAGATTACACTGAATACCTTGCTCTTCGACCGTGCTTAAGGTCACCTCCTCCCTACCGCCCCATTCGGCATCAGGTTCCATAACTGTTAAGCACTCCGAGACCCTGCCCCGAGTGAAGGCTAGATAAGTGTGATTTGTTGTAAGAGGGATACTTACGGCTTCCGTGTGCACAGGGTGGACGGAGAAGAGCAGGGCAGTGAGGAAGGCAAGGTGACAATCCCCAAAGACAGCCTTGTCACACGTGTAGAGCAGCAGTGAAGTCACAGCACAGTGCAGCAGCACATTAACCACATGGAAGTGAAGGGGAGTCATACCACCCAGCAACACGTTCAACCTGAGAGGCACAGCAGCAAAAGGGAGAAGAGACAGAATTACAGATCACACATCAATAACGACAGTGCAGAGATGCAGCACATAAGATAATCCCTCTACTCAATGTAGCATATAATAATCATGTTGCATTTCATCTAGTGCCTTATCATGTTGTCAAAACATCTTAGACTTAGTGTCAAGTGTATTAACTCTTGTCTTTTTGTTTGGATGGCCGGGTGGCTGACACGTGTGCAAACACATCACAGGTATTATAAATATCCAAAAAACAGAATTCCACACATTCCTCCTACACATGGAAATTTCCATGAAATCAGAATGGAAAGCCCAGTCATCCTGCTTGCCCAATTTAGGGAATATTAGGCACAGGTTGGCAAGAGCCGAGGCTTGTGGACCCCAGAGTGTGTGTTGGGGTAACTGCTGGAGTCCAACCAGCTAAAATCACATAGTTTACCATTGAATGAACTGCCTGGCAAGCTTTCTCGCTGTTTCTCCAGCTAGGGCTGCCTTACCAGTTCAGGCTTTGGCTTGCAGGGTTAGCAGGAGTTGAGTGGGAAGAGTCCCTGATCTGCCACTCCAAGTCCTGCTGATGAGCCAGGCTGGCTGTGCCATTATCAGGTGTGCCCTGGAGCACTGCGGACCCGCCTGGCTCAGGGATTTGACAACCAAGATCAACGTGGTTCCCCCCCCAATAGAATAGTTACTAGTTCGTCTGTGTATTGTATATTGTGTATTCTTAGGCAGACACAGAAACCAATTTGCACACAACAATGTCCCACAAATAGCCATGAAATGAATGATCAATTTTCTTTGGAGGATTGTTGGCCAGGACACCAGGAGAGAGAAAGTCTTCTCTTTTCGAATAGTGCCTTGGATTTTTAATGTCAACCTGAACAGGCAGACAGGACCTCAGTTTAACGTGTCATCCGAAGGGCGGCACCTCCGACAATGCAGAGCTCTCAGAGCCATTTGTCAGGGCAGTTCATTTCACATCCAGTCTGAACCCTCAACTCTCTACAGCTTCCTTGTGGTTTGACAATTGCACAGCCCTCTCACTTCACCACCGAACCAGTTGTGTTGTGTGTGTATAAAGCTTCTATCAGCCTCCAAGAACAAGAAAAATAATTACATCACAGCTGTACCACCTGGCAGTCGCACGCAGGGGCACACGCGTGCAGACACACGCAGGAACACGCGGGGGGGGGGCGGGGGGGGGGGCTTGTGATCAGCCTCATCACATCCAAGGCTGAGCCAGGGTTTCTCCAGAGTCACAGAGCCAAAGTGCTGTCACAAGGGTACAAAATACAGCTGATCAGGCTTGGCTCTGATACCCGCCCACAGTAAAACTAACCTGCTGCCAACAGCACTCTGCCTTGGCTGGCACATGAAGAGACCATTTGGACAAGAAACCAGCCTGTAAAGCAATACACTCTGGAAATTTATTGCCACAAGTGGCTATGCAAGATCAGTCAAGAGAATCCTTCAATAGGGAAACAGACAAGCAGTCAAACAGTCAAAATGAAACGGGATATCAGCAGAGAGTTGGACAGTGAGACCCATACAAGGAGTAAGTAAGTGTGATGTGGAACGCAGGCAACAGACAAATGGTCTCCTTCTGTGCGGATGATTTCTAGTTTATAATGAGAATAATCCTTGCATTTGGTACAGTGCCTTTCATGTCGGGAGGACTTCCCGATGTGCTTCACAGGATATACTGTAAAGTGCAGCGACAGTGTTTTGTAGCCGAATATTTTTTATTATACTATAAATGTATACAGATACATTAATATGAATAGTTTCTATGCTTCTGAAGTGGATGTTGTCCAGCAACTCCCACCTTGCTAAAAAAAAATTGTATTCACGGAAAAATATTATTTCATTTTTTCTTTGCAACAAGATGCAAAAGTAGTCAAGCGGTTAAGGGGTTAAACGTCCATGCTAAGCGCAGCTCATTTTCTTTCTCTGGAACAGGCCTGCATCGCTCCATGCTCCCCTGGGGAACAGCAGCCTCCAAAATATTCCCTGTGACCTCCAAAGACAGACTTAATCCAGATCCAGGCACGTCTGCAGTTCTCCAGGGCACTGCTGATAAGAACCCAGACAGCCTGTCTCATCAACACAACATGGAAGGACAGACCAGTCACTGGGGCAGAGATTCTTGCCACTCGACTCCTATTAACCCTGCAAGCCAAATCCCTAACGCGTAGGGTGGTCCTCGCTGGGCAAGTAGCGGAAAAGCTTGCCTGACAGTGCAATCAATGGCAAGCTCTGCAGTTTTAACTGGTTAGCCTTCAGCAGTACCCTATCGAACACTCTGGGGTCCTCAAGCCTTGGCTCTTGTATCTAATACTTTCTGGAATTAGATAAGCGAGATGGTCCCTCCACGGAGAGACTGCGCATTCCATTCCAACAAACATCTCTGGAATTTCCACACAGAGGTGGGATGCATGAAACTCTGCTTGGTTTGGATACTCTTAAGCATGGGGGTGGATTTCTACATGTGTCAGACTGACCGTATTGGTTGGCTGACTAAAAGAAAGTTGGAATTTGTTCTTGAACTTCACACAATTAACAGCACCATTAAAATGCACAAGTTTTAATCTGGATATCAATTACGGGGTGTCTGAAAATCGGTGACTTTTCCAAAGAAGGCAGCAAAATAAGATTGAACAAATACATCAATTGTGTGTTGATCTACAGGTGTCTAACTGGTGCCAACATGGTCTGTGAGCCTGAACTTACGTGTGCTCTCAAGGCTTTAACATAACTTAGTACTTTCATGCTATTCAATTGAGGCAATGTGCTTCAAAGCGATTTCACTCACAGCAATTTGCAAGAGCATTTTTTTAAAAAAAAGGTTTCTTCCCGATCTCTCCTTCCTTTCTTCTGTTCCATCCCTCCTGCCCCCCACCAGCATTATTTCCAGACTGAGTGAGTGCAAAGAGATGACCAGCTATCAACCATGACCTTGGAGCTATAAAGTGCCAGTATTATTATTAAATGCAAGGACCACAATAAAAGAACATCACAGATTGACTCTTCTCCTCTCAGAAGACAACTCTGGCAGTTCTGTTCAATTAATCGCACGACACAGCTTCCCTCTCTCCCCTGCCCCCTTCCAATCACCTCTCCTTCTTCCCAGAGCAACGTTTAAAAAAAACTGTCCCACTTCTCCACATCTGCTGTCAATTACTATATATCACTTCCACACACACACAAACACACAGCCGCATTCTTAAAGGGACAACCCCCCCTCCCCCCCGCACTGCGGGCTTGATCCAGTCTGTCTGGGAATGGAAATATGAGGAACCGCAGGGAGCAGTATTTTGAATGGAAACTAATTCTATAAACAGAAAATGTAATTTCCTGTAGCTGCCCTTGCTCTGATTTTGACAGCAGACTTTAGATTGTGTCCATTGGGCTCTGAAATGGAACAGGGGGCCTCACTGGCAGGAAATGCTTGTGGAACAAATACTCCCCGCAGAGCGTACTCAGGACAGGGGCAGGGAGGAGATCGGTGGGGGGTGGGGGGGGGAGAAAGGAGGGTGAACTGTAGGTAAGGGACCAGGATGATAGGAGTAGACTGTCACACCATCAGCACCAGGAATCAATTACTCTGGGCTCGAGGAGGATTCTCAAGATCTACACGGTCAATAATCGGTTACCTCCGATCAATCAAATGGGTGCTGCAGTCGAGTTTAACATCTCATTCAAAGAAAGACACCTCTGGCAATGCACTGGACCATCAGCCTGGACTGTGAGCTGCAAAGTCCTGCATGTATTATGCTTGAACACACAACCTTCTGACTCAAAGGCAGAGTACTATCAGCTGAGCCAGGCTGACACCTCAGTGACATCAATTGCAGCCTAAGAAAATTTATCGAGGCATCACATAATAGGGCACACCAGCCACCAGTCTGCCAGTACAACATAACTCCCGGAATCAGATCATGGCAATGACCCCTGGAGCCTCGGCCTTTGTTTAAGGAATGATCTGAATCTCATTTGCCAAACTCCTTTGTGATCCTCGCTGCTTTGCTGTGTGTTCTCTGAGCCATTGCACTGTTTTAGAGTCGAGTATTAACCTGCCTAATCCTGTCTCCAACAAAACTAAACAGGACTGGCAAAGATCCACAGGGAATCTACAAGCCCCAACCCCCCACCCCCAGTTGGGACTGATGGACGTTTACACTCAGGCTGCTGTTAACCTGATTACACGTACGTAAACAGATGATCAACAGTTTACTTCGCTATTGAGGTTGTACCAACCCTCGGAAGAAAATAGCCAGATTTAGTAAACTGAACCCCAGGAGTCGTTGTCACCTCCCCCCTACCTGGGCATTCCACTTCCTGTTCCACTAAAAGATAGTCTTTTCTCCAAATCCCTCAGCTCCGTGCCGCACTGTCATTGACCGAAAGCTGCCCTCAGGCTATTAACGCAGGAGCAGTTTAAGTGACTATGGAGGAAAGCCCCTCAGCTTCCTGTCAGCAGCACGGAGTGAGAGCTTGTGAAGGGGATGGTGCAGAGGAGCCTTACAGAGAGCCTGAAGGTGCTGAGCGGGATTGAGAAGATCAACCCCCAATGCTACCAGGCGTCGTAAACAACAAGACAAGAGGGCACAGGTCAGGGTGTTAAGAGCAATTTCAGGACTGTCACCAGAAAGTATATCTTACACACAGATGCAGTTGAAAATGGCAACAGGTGACCCAGGAAGGATGGTCAATGACAGAAAGACGCTGGACTTATTAAAGAAAACACATTGATGCTGCAATGAGAAGATATCAGAATGGGAATTGGGAAGCAGGAATGGCTTCATGGCTTTCTTCATTCCAAGAGTATAGTGATTTACATTTTTGGAGCACCTTTCACATTGAGAGGACGTTTCAAAGCACTTCTGGGAATCTGGAGTGTGGGGGGCAGGGATTGAGAGCGTGGCTGAAAAAAACCCAGATCTCGGGCTTTAAAGGTGGGGAGGAAGGGAACTGTAGGCACTCAGGGATGGC